TTCTTAAACGCTGTCGTCAAAATCTTCATTCTCCGAGGGCACTCCAAGTCTCTTATAGTGTCCTGCTAGAACTTCCCTTTTCCCTTCCCACTGCTGACTAATCCACCGTTCACACCTCGCAAAGTTGCGACCCCTGTATCCCCACCTTGCGCGGGCTTTTTTACCATTCCACTAATCCCTTCCCACATCTGCTTGACGTTTCCCTCCAGGCCTCCGTTGGCCTTCTGCACTACTTTGTCCCAAATGCACTTTTACTTCTTTTTCACTGGTCCCTTCACCTGTTTTCTGTTGGCCCTGTACTGTTCCCAACTCTCCTCAGACGCCTCACTCAGGTACTGCTTGAAGACTTCTCTACGTTCCTATATTTCTTCTTTCAGCTCGTCATCCCACCACTTAACCGATACCCCACATCGTACCACCTTCTTTCCCACTACTCTCTCTGCCGTTGCGTTCACTTTGGACTCCCACCCTTCAATCACCCTGTCCCCTGCTGCCTGTACGTCTACCTGTCCGTCTTCGACGCTTCTCAGCAGATTCCTGAAGGATTCTACAATACCAGTCAGTCTCTTCTGGAATTCATCCCGTGTCCCCTCGTCTCCCAAACGCTTTACTTTCCACCGGAACACTTTCCTCTGTTTCTTACTATCCACCTTTCTAGATCGGTCGCTGTTTGCCCATATGAGGAAGTGGTCGGTCGAACCTATATCTATCGCACTCACGTGCAGCTCTGGGATCTGTGTGCTCCCCCTATCTACCAGGATGTAGTCGAGGATCGAGTATTCATTGCAAACTGCCCGTTGCCTGATGAACTCCGGCTTATTGCATTCCCTCCTACCGTTCAACACCATCAGTTCGTTGCTTCCCAACAATTCAAGCATTCTCACTCCGTTGCCATTCACTTTGTCTTCTCCGTGCTGCCCGATCGCCTGTCCTCTACTGGAAGCTTTCCCTACTCTGGAGTTGAAATCGCCCGCCATGACAACTTCTCCCTTCCTGCTGAACCTCTGGACATCTTCCCCAATTTTTCCAAAGTTCTCCTGCGCCTTGCTTGCGACTTTCACATGGGGGGGGGGGGTTGTTATCATCAAACACAGCCGTGGCCTTCAACACGCTTCACCCTAACATACAGAGCCGGGACAAATCACATCTCATTTCAGCCCCGGCTAGGCGACTAGGGAGGGAAGGGGAGGGGAGGGGAAGAACGGCGGGAATGGATGCGCGTCTGCTGCAGGTCGAGGCCTTCTCTTTGGCACCCATTGGCCTGCACAATAGCATTGACTTCACTTCGCTCACGACAACAAACCGCGTAACGTTCGTAATCTGTTGGCAATACTGTCTCTGTTAGTAGCCAGGCGATGCAAGCTCGACCGCAAAGAGTTCCCAGAACGCCTCCACCACAGTAATAACACACGCGAGACCAAAACCTTGGAGGGCAAGCGCAAGCATGTCAACCAGCGCACGGGAAGCACCTGATGTTGATGGCACTGCGTGTGACGGTTGAGAGGAATACATGGAATGACGTTGAGCATCTTGAGGTTGCTTCCCCACATCAGCATATGTCTAACCTCATCGGCGTTGTTCTTGTGCTCACTAAAGCAGCGAATGCAAGCAGGACGGCGAGAAGGGGCATGTCCGGGAAAAACCGTGAGGGTCTACAGTACTGCACGTCCATGCAACCGTCATCACATCAGAAAAGTCCATGCTCCCCCCCCTGACTCTCACCGGTGCGCAGCACCTCCACCGTCTCGAAAGCGGAGTCGTTCCTGTACGGCCCGGTGCCCCCGCCCATCGCAAGCAGCGCGCCGCTCGGCTCGAACGCCGCCCCTAGGAAGCACCGCTGCCGCCGCAGCGGCGGCAGCGCCTCCCACTCCCAATCTGATTCCCCCGCCGCCGCCGCCGCCCCCCTCGCCGCCGCGGACATAGGAGACTCGCCGTTTTCCCCAACCGTAGTTCGTTGTAGCGGTGCCGGAGACACCGCCGCCGCCGCCGCCGCTGCTGCTGCTGCTGGAGTCGGAGCTGGAGCTCGCGCGGCGCAGGCGGGGGTTTCGGCGTTTACCCCGAGATCTCCCCCCCGCTGCCGCTGCTGCCGAGCGGAGACTAGGGGGTGGGTGAGGCGTTCGCAAGAACTCAGAGCACCCCCGCTGTTCCACCCTCCCAGGACGTAGACACTGCCGAACCTGTCCACCGTCGCGCCGGAGGCGCTCCTGCTCCGCCCAGCCAGTCAGTCCAAAGGAAATAAAAAAATTATTTCGTGCAATTTGTACGGGGGGAGAGAAACAGACAGAGCGAAAGAGGGATAGCGAGAGAGGGAGAAGCGACAGAGACGGACAGAGACAGGCAGAGAGCGGGAAAATAGGGAGAAAAGAGACCACGGTAGGTTTTGGTCAAAGATGGGAAACGAAATCCGACCAGCCCACTAACCACGTTTCCAGCCATGTGGCGACACCATGGAATAGGGGAAATTGCCTCCCCGGGGGGTGACGTGAGGCACGAATGCGTGGAATCGATTAGGCCGCATTCTCAACAGACGTTTCGTGCCCACGAGAGGAGAGCGTGAGAGCGGAGTACGTGAGAGCGGAGTGCGTGAGAGCGGAGGAGGGTGGGAGGGCGGGGTATTCCCACAGCTTGGTTTCGAGGGGTACAAACCGCCTTAGCTGTAGAGGGAAAATGGCAGCAATCAATCACTCCTTCCTTCGGTAGGACCGAAGGAACAGAAGCATCGCAGAGGTGAGGTGGTGTTTGGTGAAATCCCGGATGAGAGCTCGGTAATGAGGGTAAAGAAGACCGTACGGTCGGTTCGGGAGGGGTGGCATCAAAAGAAAAAATACTCGTAGTAATCACCGGATCCGTAACTCGCTTAGTCATGAGTTCACGAAGCCAACCTATTGAGCAACCCTTCGACCAACGCTCCCGGGGGGCAAGAGCACCGCGTAACCTGTGTCCTACGTCGAAACCAACACCCAGCAGGTGCGCGCCAACGGGTCCACCACCATTTTTCCACACACGCGCACCCATCGAGCCCAGGCTTACTCACCGCGACATGGACATCCTCGGCAGAGCTGCCCACGTGATGGTCTTGCCGTACGGCGCATCGACGAAGGCCTCCGTTTTGTCCGAGCCTTCCTGCTCAATTCCGTGGGAGAGTGGCTGGGTATTCTACTCTGTGTTGACATGGTATTCTCCTGTGTTGGCAATATATTTAGTCGTGAACCTTCGGCTTTGCCCCCCCTGTTCAAGATACGGGATTTTTCCCTGCTCCAACCTAACCTAGACAGTCCGACTAAGCCGTTTAGCCCATTTATGTTCGAGCACGAGCAAAGAGTCTACAACAAAACACCTCCCTCCCCCCCCCAGTCTTTCATTCTCGCGCCTGCTTTTCCAGGGGCCGGGTGGACAAAATACACTGTGGGAGGGGGGGCGGGGGGGTATACGGCGACACGAAACCACATCTTCTTGCATGTTTGGAAAGGGTCTACTTGCCGTGTACGACTAATGCTGCCTCCGACGCAAAAATACACAGCCACACAAAGAAATAATGTTTACGGTTCACTCACCACTGAAGATATCTCGTTGCCCCCCACGACAACAAGACGCCCTGGCGGGGACCCCTGGAAAAAAGAAAAAGAGTGGTCGCATCAATACAAGAGTCAAGAGGGGAGAGGCGTTTTCGACTAACACGGTGGGATGGCGAGGAAAGCGCACGCCCAAGCTCTCATAAGCACACCATTCTGGAAAACACGGCCTCTTCTCCCTCCCCACCCCCGCCCTGCCCGTCAAGGGACTTCATGCGAACCACAAGGGATTTCCAGCCTACGGGAGAGTTGTCATCAGTGCCGCAGAAAAGGAGAGGGCAGCTTGTTACCCTCAACTGTTTGAGCGGGACTCGAAGCACAGGGCAACGGCCATCGTTCGTGTGTCTGTCTGTCTGTCTGTCTCTCCCTCCCTCTCTCTCTCTCTCTCTCTCTCTCTCTCTCTCTCTCTCNTTCTCTGCCTCTCTCTCTCTCTCTCCCTCCCTCTCTCTCTCTCTCTCTCTCTCTCTCTCTCT